GATCTAGTTACTGGTGGTGTCAGAGGTCCTTAGGAACAGGACTCAACACACACACACACACCCTCTACGACCTCTTCGTAGTGTCGGTGGCATTTCCGCTGGGTGCTCCCACGTTGGCCACGGCCAGGCCGATACCCAAGGGGCCAGGCTTCACCTCAAGCTGGTGGGAGTTCTTAAAGCCGTAGGACATCCCTCAGACTTCTTGGATATTCACCTCTGCGGAGTAATGCAATAAATAAGGGTTCAATAATGTTCAATAGTTAGTTTGCAGTTGCTTTGGTGAGAGAAAACGAGGATGATTACTACATGAATGCCGACATTGAGTATGTTCCAATCATTGTCGTCCCCCCAATTCTCAGGTGGTAAGCAATAGTGGAAAACCTACGGTGTTTGGAGCCATGAAGATGAACAAATCAGCTTTGAAGGTCCAGCTGTACGTTGTCATGGGTCACTTCTTTCTACCATCTTTTTCTCATATATGTCGTATGCAGTGTGCCATTCAGCCTGCAAACTGCCTACTGGCACTGTCCTACTGGCGATTCTCACGGCTCCCGGACAACGAGGAAAGGCACTGCACCCAAGCCCGTGGTCACACAGGTCAACCTCATTCTCGCATTTTGTTTGATCACAAACAAATTGTATGAACAACGACATTGTCAATGTACATTGACATAAGCAACTGTTGAAGAATTAGTGCGGGACTAATTACTATTCATTCAAGTCATTAGAGCTTTAAGTGCTGAGATCAGAATGTCGCACCGCCCCTGGTAGACCAGCTTGGCTCTTATGGATTCACCCGGTGAGTGGCAAACTCTTTGAGTGGCAGCAGAATCCTCTGGGCAGGTTTTTCATGAGGTTTTCATGGCGCACAACAACGTTAATGATCTAAACTCGACATCAACATCTTAGACCATATCAACATATCCTGAGGCCCTGCGGTAAACCTCTTGCTTTTGGTCTCAGATCTCTTTAAGATTCACTCCCGGGTTGTCCACCCGGTCCCACCGAGGTTTGCAGGTCATCGGAAGAAGTGGTCCAAAGGCGAGTCGTTTTTTGTGGTTTGCTCCCCGGCACGAATCTAGGCCTCACTCAAACCCAGCTATCCCACCGAGAAAGAGTTGGATGTTCTCTGTGAAGGCTGTGAAGGCTGTGAAGGTTTCTAAAGGCATGTCATCATCCGAACACCTCTCGACACTCCACCAGTCACTGGACTTTTCTTTTTGGCAGGCTGTTCCAAGTGGCGAACGCAGCTGTCGGCAATTGAAGTCAGTGCACGGGATTGAGCTGTACAGCGAATGACCATGTCTTTCGCCTGCAAGTACCCAATGCCTTTCATGCTCCATTCTGTGAATACCATCCTTTAGATTCCACTCTCTGGGTGAAAGGAAAACGTATCAAGCAAGGTCAAACTTTCCTTGCTGGGAGACATTGGGATTTCGACACTACTAATCGTGGGTAATGGGCTTTGCCGACTCACGCAAGACAAGCAACATGTTTCAAATAATCAAGGCTCCGTTGAAGTCCCAGCCGCATACCATGCATCAAACACCTGGGAAGCGTCGGCAGTAAATACTCAGCCGATGGGATCCTTCAAAGGGAGGGAACAATCATGTACATATATTATACATATATTATTACTTTTTTAATATTGTTCTTGTCATTGTTATCATTATTATTATAGTTATTGTTATTATAGCTTCCTGCAATCTTGCATGGAGCTTTTTGTTCACTGCTAGTCGCAACACCGAGGCACCTGAAAAAAATTATGATAAGGGGATAAACCTAACCAAACACCCTACTGATTGCATTGTACCCCAGCATGCACTCGCAAGCTGCAGCCAAGTGGCATGCCTGTCATCAGTCCCCGCAGCAAGCAGCTCGTCTGGGAATTGGAGCAAAACACTCGCAAGGATGCCTGGAGCCAATTCCAAAAGGCCCAAAAGGCCGTTCAATCCGTTCACGGCGCGGCACCGCGTGCAGGATCTTGCCCACCACAGCAAAAATGGAAGATGTACCCACCAATTCCGCATGTTTGAGTGGTTGGCGGGTCGGTTGGTTCAATGGCTGAACACAAAGCTGTAGGTAGCTCTAGTGATACCTCTGGTAGCTCGTTGCCCCTGAGATTCTAGCGGCATCGGTCTTGGGTAGCCTCACATTCTACGCCCAAAACATTGGGATCGCGGAGCGTTTCAACGATAAACCGGATGTTCGCCGAGCTGCCGAGTCCGGACGTTGGCCCCGCTGTTCCAAGAAACCTGGAGAAAACGGTGCTGGAGTCAGAACTTTGGAGGGAAAACCTTCTCCTGCACCTTGGGCTAGTAAGCTGTCATCCTCGGTCGCCAAGTCATAAAATCCTACACTCATGTACCTGGGCACCAGATTGTAGCACATTGGAGCTCTCTCTCGGAACACCCGGAGGGCCAAATCAAGATAAGCAAGTGCAAATTCATTCACGAACAAACATTTCTGTACACAGTATACAGTGATGTTTGACCATGTTTGACCTGCGGGTGACTAAATCACATCTTAGGTGGGCTAAACGAACGAACATCTATCTTTTAAAAGCTGCTGCCAACCGATCTTTTCAGAACTAACATGAATATACAAGAATATAATGGAATATACATGAATAACCATACCATACCATACCTATTTGGAGGGCTCATGTCTATTCTTTAATAACCTTGATCACTTCGCGACTTTCTCTTGGATCCGAGGCTCTTCAAGAGCCTCCTCTGCCAAGAGAACCTCCACACGCAGCGGAAAGGCTGGTCCGTTTCAACAACAGCCCCCCGCAACAGACCCGCACACCCAAGGACAAACTACCAATGCTCAAACTGCTGATCTTGTATAGATGTTCTGCTTCTTTCTTGAGCAAACTCAGCATAGTTACATAGCTTCGACACCAGGTAAGTTTGCACCACTCAAGAGACCTCAAAGTCAGGGTGCCTCATCGTCACCTCGGCATCTGTCTTTCCAGTTTGCTGCGTCCAGCCATGGGGAACGGACTCGTTGAACACCTGAGTTCGTTGAGAAAGCCCATCAACTTGGTGGGCAATGGGCTCATGGGTATGGTAAAACTTCATGCCCCCATCCATCCTTCCGGTCAGCCATGACACCTTTCTCTCCATTTGGGTCACTTGCACCTCAACGGCGTTGTCGGGACCTCGCTAGCGTTGGTCGGCAAGGTTCACAAATCATCAATATCTCATCATCTTCTGATATGCTCTTTACACATGCAAGCACCTTTTCAATACATTGTAGGTCCCAGTAACGCATGAGTGAACCCTTGGTATGGTTCCAGTTCGGAAGCTTCCCCAAACTGCTCCATCAATCCGTCACTCTTAACCGCTCTGGGACGCTGGAATCTTCCCTGTGAAATCTGTGAGGCAAAAACAAATGCCACGCTTTACATGAACTAGGAACAAGAAGCTACTTGAGAGAGGAGGGGGTGAACGAAAGGTAGCAGGCAATCACAAGTAACCCTGGTAGAAGTCCACGACGGCGTGAACCGGCGCAGGGGGGATTTGATCCAGGGGGGGGGGGCCCCCCCCCCCCCGACGAACAGAATCAACTCTTACAGGACCAACTTCAATGCACAATCCCAACTCCTGATTGTAATACATTTTTGCTAAAGCAAGGAGAACTCAGGTAGCTCAAGCTACCTTTCGTGATTAGGGGCTCCTGGCATCGCTACTAGGAGCAAAGGACGCGACTAGGGACACTTTACATGACTTCCTTCTTCGTCCTCCCATCCGCGACCTGACAGCGTCCACGAGCCCCAAAGCGTGGTCTGCAAATGCTCTTCATCCTCACGGCGGTTCACCACACGGGTCTGCCACCTCAGGCGCCAATCAAACAGAATCCACATCACATCCACCAAAGCGACATGCTCCTAGTAGCGATGCCAGGAGCCCCTAGTAGCTTCTTGTTCCTAGTAGTAAGGCCAGGAGCCCCTAGTAGCGTCCTTGCTCCATTATAATATTAGCTAATTATATAAACCATGAACATGCACATTAAAATTGGCATGGTGATACTGGGAGTGGCTTTTTTGTAGAACATTGTCTTTAGACAATTAAATTGGACGTACCTGCATGTCCACTACAAAATGGCATGGCTGGCCCACATTTTCTCTACAACATGCTTTTCCACAAACCGATTTTAGAGAATGCAATGAACACCACAATGCTACAGAATCAGTTATCAATGTGCCCGGAGATTCCAGAATTATGTATCATGACAGGCTCAAGAGATCCTCTCTACAAAATGGATCAAGTGGATTCAAGAGGATTGTGAAGACAATGAAGCAAAATACTTGTAATGCTCTACAAATCAGTCAGCCAAAATTGGCTGCAATGTAGAAAGCAAAGCGTTTCTACAAAATCATGAATCCCTGGAGTCACGGAGTGCAAATCTGTAGAACATCCTTTTCCACGTGCACTCAAACAGAATCAGTTAAAGTGATCAATGAGACGCCCACTGATTTCTCTCTACAAAATGGGGGTGTGGATTTTTACAGATTTATAAAACCCACCTGAATTAGCTACTGATATCTACTGATGACATTTTGACTGTGATCCGTGAAGCCTGAAGCCTCCCTGATTTCTCTTGAGCTAGAAGTGCCCCAACGGACTGGCGGTACGTCCCAACTGCCATACGTCCAAACTGGCTTTGCCGTTTCCTCAGACGATGCCAACAAGTCCCAGCGGCGAGAAAATGCTTGCATTCCCATCGGCATTGAGGTAAACTCCAAAGTGGTGACTTCCATGTCCAGACACGCTGGAAAATCCTGGGCATGGTTACATGGTTTCACTCAGTTTGCTCCTTGTGCATCGTGGGGCCTGGGGCTTCCAGGATAATGTGTTCTTTGAGTTGCAAGATGCTTTAAGACACATATCACATATCTGTCATGGAGATGCTTCTGCTTCTGCCCAAATCGGAATTGGGGTTTCAGAGATGCCAAGCCGACGGAAGCAGCTGGTTGGGAAGCTACTTTGAACAGGTCAGTGACTTTGCCAAACTGGTCGAACTTGGCAGTAACTTGTCGAACTGAGACTCACTCAGAATCTGGGAGCTAGCAGTAACTTGCCCAAAGCATCCCAAGGCTGTGAGTAAGTATCTGGGACCTACGTCAAAGCTGTGATTTAGCACCTACGTCCCAACATGTCCCAACCTTTCGTGAAACAACCTGTGGTATAATCCCTTCTCGGCATTGGCATTGCAGAACGCTGCCATTCACCGTTCTCGTGCCTTTGGCCATGCCTTTCTCCCGTTTGTCCTCCCATGGGGGTCGGGGCACTGCGCAGCCCCTGCAGCGAGTTTAGTCTTGGAATCTTCTTGGCTTAGCGTCCTTGCTACTAGTAGTAATGGCCTCCAACCGAGTAGCGATGGCCTCCGCCTAGTAGCTGCTTGTTACTAGTAGCGATGGCATCCAACCTACTTGCGATGGCCTCCAACCTAGCTTTAGAATATGCAATTTGCAGATCCGATCAACTTAGTGGGACTTTGGATTGAACACTCTCTTCAGCAACCACCTCGTCGCACTTCCATGTAGGGATTTGCACTTTTTGTCAACTTGCTTCAAATTCGATAAACCTCGCAAATCAAAGCAAATCTGTTCATCTCAAAACTGCTTCATGTTGTGAAATGCCAGCTTGGAAGGGCTGTCTTGCCGAGGGTCTGCTGACTCGAGGCACCAATGCTTGCAGGTGACCACCTTCTAAGATGCCAGTTTTCCAAACGATGTCGGAATCCTTGGGCGCAGGGCTGGGAGTACGAAACTCAGACTTTCCAGGCAGGCATGAGGACTTTGAACGGAACAACCAAGAAGTCCCACACCCGCACTCGCACCTCACGCTTTCTACTCAAAACGTCTCACAAGATACGCCAAGCAGCTTGGAGTATCAACAGCCTGAGCTGACCAAAAGGCATGCAATCAGTCAGGAATGTCAAAGATCAAACAGCTCTGAACTCTTGATACTCTGCAATGCAAAGAGACTCAGAAGCCAGATCCATCAACTGATTTCTGCCAGTAGCTTCGCACAGCTTCTCTTTCAGGGCCTGACTTGTCATCAAGCACATGGAAGACCTACTTCACTTCCACAGCAAGTCTCTCCGCGCGTTCCAACTCTGGTTGGGAGTGTGAGCAAGGACTCTGTTGGTCCCCAAAGTGAAAGATTCACACTTTGCATACCCTGTAAGGCCCTGTACCTCTCAAAAAAGCGGCCAAAGAAAAGCTAGCAGCTAGGGCAGCTAGGTAGGCCTTCCAGGAATCTGTGGGACGCCCCCCTTTCCGCTTCCAGGTAGCTGCCACAGTCTCGTCAGGCCCCACGGCGAGATCCGCCAAGCGTTGGCCCCCCCAGCGAATACACGGGAATCGTTGTGCCAACTCCTCAACTCACGTCAACGACCGTCCATTGATCCAGCATGGTTTAAGATCAGACCTGAAAGGACAACACCCATCAAGCAGAGACAGTACGAATGGGTTTGGAATGTTGAATCCCATGATCCCCCCAATAGTTTCTATATATATATATATTGTTTAATACATGCAGTACATACATCTCATCTAGAGTGGCTACAAAAGGAGCACTGAGGGAAAGTGTGCATGTTGCTTCCGGTGTCGATGTGACAGAGTGGACGGAAAAGGACGGAAAGACACTACAGTAGCATGCATGCCGCAGCATCCTACTTGCTGTTGAACCGATTGAAACAACATATTCCTGAAAAGCAAAACACATTGGAAATGCTTTGAAAAGGACTCATTGAATACGATTGGCCTCGAAGCCTCCTAGAATATAAATGCACCGACAACTCAGCAAAGAGTGAACTCAGTAGGACCCCGACCTTGAAAACGCTAGTAGTATCAAGGGCATCGCTACTGAGAGCAAGGACGCTACTAGGGGCTCCTGGCCTTACTACTAGGAGCAAGAAGCTATTAGGGCATCGCTAGGAACAATGACACCAAAAAGCAGCGCCATCCAACTCCTGTCCACTTCACTCCAGCCTGGGATTTCTGATGCCAGCCCCTCATCTTCTTTGGATGTCTCAGCCTCCGTAAGCCAAGCTTTCCCAAAGAAGGCCTAATAGCGATGGCCTCCAACTGACAGCTATAGTAGCTGCTTCAGCTCTAGAAACAAACCTATCAGAAAAGCAAGTGAAGGCATCAACCGCCAAGAATCCTCGAGAAGCTTTGAGGAGGACGTGCAAGGTCCTGGATCTTCTAGCCCGACCCATCTATTGACATGGCATCATCAGCAAGAGTATCTATTGCATTCTATTACACAAAAGCAACGAAATGCTGTGATTCTTTCAACAGAATATATATGAGAAGCAGCAAAGAGCAGCAGCTTGCGTGGTGCAGTTGTGACTCCTCCCTTCAATAATGGACTGCCGCAATCGACTTTCTACCCAAAACTGGACATCCTGGCTCCGCCTTGCTTCGCCTTCCCCTTTTGGGCACCTCCTAATACCTACCGTTGCAAAGGCCACAAAATGGATGGCTCTGAGCACAGTGGAACACGAAGGTGCTTTGAACGCCACGTCTTCTGTCCCTGCAGTCCTGGCGTCTTGAGTACCTTCACCTCGCAGAATCAAAAGTGTCAAGCCGGGAGAATGGTCGGCTCCCCGTCAAAAAAACATCTCAATTTCGGATGATTTCAACACCTCCGGGGGATCATGGGGTTTCTGTTGAATTCTTTTTGGCCTGCGAGATGGGCGACTCCTATCTGATAGATTTCAACACATCAATGCAGCTCTTAAGCTTGGCACTTCGCTTGGCTCGAAAAGGCCCATGGCCGCGATGTGGCGGTAAATGATACCCCCAGGAAAACGAGCTCACATGGTCATTGCTCTGTTTTCATCTGTGTTGTCTGGGAAAGAATGATCTGCTTCGGCTTGAAGTGTTCATGTCAGCTCATGCTCCCTGCCTTCAAAATTGACCAGGTTAATCGTGAAGCACCCTCTGGCTGAGGCAGAAGCTCCCCACACATTGACGTCGCTCCCACCAACTACATAATATAAGCGACTTGGGTTCCTCTGGAGCCTTGAAAAAATCACTGTCGTGCTGAAACACAGCGGAAAACCTGCCATGATCTACTTTTTCACATTCACAACGCTCCAACACATTTTAGTTTATTGTGAACTCCGCAATACTGCAGGTCGCAGTCATGGTGTGTCATAGTCACAGCATGTCACTAGCCTACCGCTACATAAGCCTGTACATCACCTGTTGAGGAGGGTCGACTATGGGGTACGTGAGCCTTCCCTCTGAGCTCCAGGCAGGCCATACCCGAAGACCCTGATCACTTCCCAGTGCATGCCTTGCACGGAAAATCGAGAGCTCTGCTTGCACTACTCGCAGTGACCTCTCCGTAAGGTCCTCTTAATCGAGGCCCCTCATTAAGGAGGCCCTATATACCCTTACTATTTTGTTTAAAGGAATCTTAAACGAGCAGGTGGATCCACACACCCCCATGTCCACCACAGTTCCTCTTGGGTCAGCAACCAGATCGATTTTGTCGCCAACATAGGACCACGGAATTTTGCCCATGGCCGCAAAACCTGTTCGGGGGAAACACCAAGCCAAAGGCTTCGCCCTTCATGAACTTCACGCTTCTTCTCCTCCCCATGCTTGGATGCTCTTTCCAAACTGCTCTTCTAAAAAGATTCTCCATTGCTATTAGGTAAAATTGGGTATGTCTTTCCAAAAAGAATTCTCCCCAGGCGTCCCAAAGATTGACGTCAGACGTCCCCGGCGTTCGAAGGCGACGTAGGCCCGGGAGAAGGTCTGCCAGGCCACGATCGCCGAACACACGGCCACCTGGCCAGGTGAAAAACACAAAACACATAAAGCAACGAAGTAGCACAATGTCATGAGTGGCAACAAAACTTGGCAAAAAAAAACAATTTCCTCACTAGAACCCATCAAGAGTCATGAAGAATTGATGACATGGATGTATTTTGGCGGCCATGGTGACGAGTTGTGTCAACTCGGCCACCTTCAGAGTGTGTTCAGTTGGGGCACCGGACCCACAGCATGAAACTGCTAAGGAAAAAACTGATGCCGAAAGGTGGGCCAAGCCTCGAGTGCAAAACATCAATTGATCCCCCCCGTGACGGTCTCAGTTGCAAAACCGAGTTGGCCAGCACAAAGGATGAGTGCTACAATGAGAGACTGTCAGACTCCATCAGCAAGACACTTGACATATTTGACATTGTCAGACTGATCACCACTGATCCAAAACCAGTTGAGGAATTCATCTCATTCGTCCAATTCATTCTTCTTTGTTCTTCCATGCGGGGGCCCCCGACGCCCGGCTCACTCATTTGCACGCCCGATCCAGGCTGAGAGCCTCAGGTCAGAGTGGTCGGAACGCAAAAGGAGTTTCAATCCTTTTAAGTGGAGTTCAGATCCATCAACTTGCGGATTTTCCTGGGTGGAACGTTCCACCTACTAGGTATAATCTTGGTTGGGGAAGACAAATGAGTTCACGACCTAGAAGAAAGACTTATGCAGCTAACATGGTAGGCATCCACTGCAAGTCACCCACGAAGGCAACGTGCCAAAGGCTCTGAGGAGGAGGCTACCACTGTCAAGGCGAAGCCTAGCAGCCAAAACCAGCCGGGTTGCTGTCAACATGAAATGGAACACATACAATGGACCTTGAGCCATTTCATGGCCAACGACATTCAATTCTACATAGTCATATAGTATCATATGATAGTACATGATAGTACAGTTCCACTAGTGCCCCAACGATCCCCCCCGAACGTACCACTGCTGCGCGCAGATGCGCCTCTTGGGGCACCTCTTGGCGACAGGTTGTGGCACCTGGAGGCGTTCGTTGCACAGGTGTGGCACCGAAGGAGTTGGTGTGAGGAGTGGCACCGAAGGAGTTGGGCGCGTGCTTTGTCATCAGTCGCCATCCTAAACCCACTGGCTGGGATGCTTAGGGGCGATTGGCTGGTCACGTGGCCTCTATGCATGCTAAGTCATTGCTCAGGGTCTCCTGAACGGAGTTGAACCAGCCGATGACCCAGGAGCTAGCATGGCCTGAAACTACACACGTCTCTGTGCAGAAGTGTTCAATACGGCACAAAGGCGCCTGCCTAGGGGTGGGAGTAATTTTATGCATGAAGACTATTCTTGGGCAACATCCCATCCGTAATTCCAGGCACTTAGGTTCCGAACCAAGAGTCTTCGAGATTCAAACACCCTCGGACACAATCGACTGCTCTCAAGATGGATCGAACCCATCAGCCCACAATTCCAACCAAGGTGCCAAAACATTCACCCCGCCCCACCGCACAGCCCAAGAAACCCAGCCCTTCGCTGGGCGTCCGCACTTCGTCGACCTCTGAGACTTTGGCACCCAAAGCCTCACAGCTTCAGTCACCACTAACCCAGCCCATCGCTCCTTGCACAGTGCGAGTTTGTCCTTTCGAAGGAGCATCGTCTGCTACTCACCACATGTGATCTGATCTATACGCATCGTCCTGACCGGACGATTCTGGTGGCTCGCTATGCGACGCTGATTCTGGTGGCTCACCGCTGATTGATGCCCACGGGCAAGGGAGGTTTTGTGGCAGTCCATGTTGAGGTCCTTCCTTGGATTATTTGTGGATCCTTTTATTGCCAAACCTGTGAAACATGGTTGGATAATGTGAGCTGCAAACTCGGATTGTGCCTATCCAGAAAAATAATAGCCAACAACTGGAACGTTGAACTGAGAAGCTTAGTTCCTTTTTGTTCTTTTGAGAGGGATACTGTACATGGCGAACATCTTTGACCTACTTCACAAAAATACAATCTAACTTCTCAGCATACACTTGAAAAAGGCACAGGCATCGAAGCACAGTGCCACACCCAAATCCTCCTGAAGAACTGTCGCACAAATCACCCACCTTCTTCTCCATCTCAGTGGATAAAAGCTGACTGACTGCAAAGGCCATGATCGAGGCGGCAAAACCTGGATGGCGAAGCCCTCCAGGATGTTGTGAGAATCCAGATCCGTCGCATGCGTCACAACATACTGATCTTGAGGGTGTTCCCAGTTCAACAAATAAATGGGGGGGACCGACCTGTAAAGACCAGACTTCCAAACCATGGAGAAGACGTTGTGAAGAGGATTCTTTGAGGTGGTTTGCATGTCTGCTTCTTCTTGGGCAACAGCACTTGGCTGCCTCGAAGGTTCGTGACATGCCCAGAAATCATATGACCCCCTCCTACCAAAAATACCAACAGGCAAGCAACCAGCCACCCAACTCCTCACCCCTGCCCTCATGGCACTCAGCCACCCGCCATTCGCCAGCATTGTCATTCCGCTGACCAACGGTGTCCGGCCTTGCATATGTTTTGTCGGCTTGCCAGCCCGCGGGATTCGTGAACACTGCCATTGCAGGAGACGCGGCGCCTGTTTTCACGTGCTGAGACATGTTGAGACCATGAAGGTCTTTTGCGCCATTGATTACCTTCCAAACCTGGTGTCCAAACCTTGCCAAGGCAAAGAAGCAACGTGGAAACCTTCCAACCACGAAACGAGACAGTTTCACCATGAAATGCGTTTTGCCGAAAACACTGCAGCTGAAAGAAACGTCGGGTACGGGACTTCCACATCCTTCCACCTCCTGAAAGTGGGTTGAAAACGCCTCGATTTACACAGCTCACCCGTGCGCAAACTGAGAAAGGAAACAGTGCGACCATTTCACGGAAGATGTGAGTCGGGTCAGAAACTGTTCCTCGTCGAGCACTTTGAACATCTTTGAACAATCATAAACCAATTCATTAAAAAGAAACACATCAGCTGATCAGCTAAGAGCTATCTTAGAAGCTCACTTTCTGTTCGCGGTCGGTCACCTGTAAGGTTCGCCGTCCACCCCGTCCGCTTGACTTGCATCCGCTGCCGACTCGCTGGCTTGCTGAGATGCCCCGACTGCCGACCAAACGGCTCACCAAGCTGCCCAGTAGAAGGAGTGCAAAGGCCTTGGGTCGAGAGAACCACAGGAGTGCAGTGTGGGCAGTGGGAGGGGGTGACCGGCCAACCCTGCCTGGTGGATTCATCCCTGATTCATTGGATCACTGAATTTTGCAAACGAACAACCGCAGCAACTGGAGCTGCATATTCTGACCTCTGAATCTTCGTGAGGAGGCCTTTCTTGTGCCATAATCACGCACACCTACATTGTCACATCACTTGGAAGCTGGCACACGTTCCTAGCTGAGATCACCGGACACTCAGTGTGAGCGACATGGCTGTGGAGAATTGGGGCCGATACCACCTGAGCGCGGCACTGTGCCGATACCATGACGGTGTGATGAGCCGGGATCCGAAAGCATCCAAAAACTCTCAACGATTATAACAGAACAAAACTAACGTTATTATATAACGATAAATATAAATCATATTGCTACAAATTATCGATATTTAACAATATCATATATAATGTTTAAACATGTATATATATATATATCGTGCTCAAATGTTACAAAATTCTCGATCGGACAACCAGAACCCACTCCCCATCCTCCTGGTCATGTAACCGTGTGGCAGGGATGGCCGCTTGTGAAAGGCTTCGCAAGAATATCTGACTCAATGGTTTAGGAGTTTTGGGAGGTGCAGTCATCGGAACAAGGCATCCACAAACAGGGTGTGCTCAACACACTTTCTGTCTGATCGGCCCCTCAAACAGGCCACATATTCCTCGAGAGGACGACTCCTCTGTCTCCCTGAGCCCCTAACGCTGGGCCGGCGCAGCTCCGCAAACAAGTGGAGATGACCAAACCTGAACACATTTGGGTTTGTATTTTTTTAAGGTTCCCGGGCCCGGATGTTTGACTATGGGGTATGCTTCGGAGGTATGCTTCGGGGGTATGCTTCGCGCAGTTTCAAGACTAAAGTAGTAGCATTTCCAGAGGGTATGCTTCAGGGTATGCCTCGGGGGTATGCTTCGCCTAAGTCGAACATCCCAGTCCTACATAAACTGGACACCCTAAAAAAAAAACAAAAAAACAACAAGCTCACTTGACTTCTTAGGCCTCACGCCAACATTGACATGAATCCTGAAACCACAACGCCGAGACGATTTCAAGTTGGACCTTCTGTCCCTCTGCTCCTTTGTGAGAAGTGATGATGTCTTCGTGAGCCACCAAAATGCAAATGCAATCAAGGGATTCAGTTCGCCGATTTACCATCAGCACTTGTACAAACCGTTCTTCATTTTTGTTTTCTTTGTTTCTAGTAGCAATGGCCTCCAAGCAAGTAACGACGGCCTCCAACCTAATATAAAGCTCTGTAAACGCAATTATATAGTGTCACACAGTCACACAAATGCTATGCTGCTATGCATTGAGTGTTGAGTAGTTCAGCCTCTCTTGCCTGAGGCAGGAAGGTACGAAATGTTAGATTCATAGAGCATCTCCCAAGCTTCTCCAATTCCACTCCGATCTGTTACTATCTTGTGTGGCTGGCTGTGCACTGAGAGCTTCCCAGGGTTTCTCGACTGCGCCTAGCAAAGGAACCAAGCCGAAGATGAGGAAGGAAGTGCCGGTGGCCTCAAGGGAAAGCTCTGTGAATACGCAACGACAGACTTGACCTAGCGTACCCAAGGTCAACATGATGTGACTGTGGGTCATGATGGGTTGATGGGTGTTGTCACAGTTGATCTGCCGTTCTTGTAGAAATACGGAATGGTTGCAGCATTGCCTTGTTTCCATTGGTGACAACATTATCCTTATCTGTTTTTAGCCCGCCCTTACTGAATTAAGTAAGTGCCTAATCAATGGTATGGGACTAAACACGCTATATACTATAAGAGAAGTTCGCTCCTAGCTAGGACGCAGGATAGCTCCTGCTTCCTTGAAGAAGCACTCACACTAATCATTTGGTTTCTAGATTCCTAGGGAACTTAATTCTCACGGACTCACAAGGATCTTTTCTCAGGCGTCTGTTGCGGGTGGATTTTCCTAGCCGAGGACCAGGTTAGCGAGGGAGGAAGCAACCTTTTGAGTTCTGACTTCACCCAGGTTGCACGTGTCGCTTATATAGATCGATTCCTATATGGTCTATGGATGTCTATGGCTTTGGGATTATTTTTGACATCTGCTCTCAGCCTCTTGACTGGTGAATTTACCCCTGCTCTGACCCGTGAACTCAGACTCCCTCGAACCTTGTTGACGCATGTTGACACAATGTAAGTGACCCAAGCAAATAAACATGTTCCAGCGTTAAAGTTAAAGATGTTTCTCAATACTAAATACTTTATAAGTACAATGTTTTACCAGACCATCTCCTTGCTTGATGAATGACCCTGCCATGCATGCTGCTTTTCGAGATGACCTCAGTATCTAACAGGTTACCAGGCTTATGCCAGGCTTCCGTTGCTCTGTGTCTTTCTCCAAGTGCTGAAACCACACATCGACAGTCCTTGACCATCTTGACCCGCGTCACCTCCCCACGCACCACTCGGCTGGGATCTCCGGCCAGACCCGACTTCATCGCAGCCGTTGGGCCCCGTGGCAATTGGATTCCTGAGCAGCCCATGCAGCGCTGTGGCAACTCTCATCCTTCGACACAACATTCGGAATGGTTTTGGATTGTTGATATTGTTGGTTGGGTGCAGGGACCCATACATATAATACATATTCTCGAAGGCATTTGCGGCCGAGATGGCACCGAGGATGCCGTCGGATGCCGTGTTCGTTCGGGTGCCATCCCCTCGATGACCCAACCACACCGGAGCCTGGCCTAGCTCCTCGGCCATCATGTGGTGAACCCAAAAGTCCTGCTTTGCGCCGGTCACGAAGCTTTGGGTTTATGATGCAAAACATCTGTGTGTTTGAGATACAGCAGATCGGCATCCACACCAAAAACAAGATACAGTATATCTGCTGAATAACACATGGAAACCTTAAAACCGGTCTGCTTTCTTCGAGTTCTCCATGATCTAGGCAGCAAGCTATGCTCATTCCGCATGCTGCATGCCTTATCACTTCTCTGAGTTCGGGCAAAGTTCGGCGATTCATGACTCAACAGCTCGCTACTTGCAACAAGGGCATCGCTAGTGGGAGCATGAAGCTACTAAGTAGCTCCTGGCTACTAGTAGCAAGAAGCTACTAGGACAAAAGATTCACAGCTCAAGCCATCACAAAACTACAGTAACTGGCCTCATATTTGGAGAAGATCTTGGCCACATGGCGAGCATCCTGATCCAACAAGCCAGAGCAATGGTATGACAACGAACGTGCAGTAAGGCCTTGCAGCCATGCTGGATACGGCTCGTGCATACTGTACCAGTCGCAATAGATGAAGCAAACAAGCCGAAATCGGAAACCAAACGACGGCTTTGCCTGACAACAATGACCTCCGCCAAAAGCAGGTGTTCACAGGGAATGGAGAAAAACATAGAAAATCAACATACCCAACTTTTGTCGCTGATCTGCCTACTTGACACTCCGAACAGAGCACTTACAGCAGCTATATATATATAACACTATGTATATTAATATATATATATAAATCCTCTTTCGAAACAAGAATGCGTCTCGTTGTACCTCAAGTCCACAAGTCTCGCACTTGACGACCCTCTGCTGCTACCAAGAAAGCTCGACTGTTTTTCTTTTCGATTCCACAACCATGGCCTCCTCGGATAGGCCACGTTTCCTGGAGCTTACAGTCGAAGCTCCCACTTAATTCTGAGTTTGGCCTATGATGTTGCTTTGGGAAAAGGGGATGTAAAGGAAGAAATCTGACACCAACATCTCAGACGTACACATGGTATCAAGAACCATCTGGCCCCCCAATCCGTTGGCCCGAACCTGCTCTGAATCTGTGACACTCAGTGACACTCAGTGCATGTGAGTCTCTCAGTTGCCTGTAGTGACAAATCATCTCATCCACTTCGGCGGACGGCATGGCTCGCACTTCATTGTACCTCGGCAGGCAAAAAAAGAAGCGCACATGTCACTGTCGATTGCATCCCTTTGTCACATCAGATTTGATAGTATATTGTATAGTGAATCAAGACTTCCCAACATCTTGCAATTGGTCCTCAAAAAAAATATCGCCACTATTCGTCACTCTCGAAAACAATCAAAGGCTAGTGACTCATTCACTGTTGCGATCTTGAAACGATCCAATGACATCCAATGGATGTCAATTCAGAAGTTGAAGTTCCCCCAGGGCTCCGAAGCCCGAGACACGTAAAGAACAACGACGAACGAGAAGTCCTCCAGGTACCCAACTCTTCCTCCAGCTGGCTGCGAGCGAAACCTTCCTTGGCCTCTTCCACCTGCCAGGTTTAGGAAGGTGTGAAACCAGCGCTTCCGTGGGGACCACTGGAAAAAACGGAATATGAGGTGAAGATCGCTTAGACCAGAATGCTACTAGGAACAAAGGGCATCGCTACTAGGAGCAAGGACGCTACTAAGGGCTCCAGGCCTTACTACCAGGAGCGAGGACGCAGGCTCCCGTTTCAGAGTTTCCCAATTTCCCAACTCATGTTGAGTCACGGCTGTTGAGTCACTTCCGGACACAACTCAATGGCCTACTATCACTTATAGATACAAATAATGTCCCGGTGAAACAGGGTATGCGTCAAACAAGTACATTCCTCAAGCTGTCCTGTAGTATGGCAAAAGCCAACCTGGCAACCTGCAAGGTGACCAACTGGCGACGGAGGTCAGCCCCACCATGAAAGCGCCGAAGCCCATGGAAAAGCCGTAAGAGATGAGGCTGGCCTCCCAAAGACCACAAGTCCATGGGCTCCGGAGCGACTCCGGTCAGAGACTAGTGGAACCGCTGGGTGCAAGGAATGCACCCGAAAATATCCTCAAATCCTCCAAAATTCATTCATAGCTAATCTCCTACAGTAAATCTCAGGCAAATTCTCCAGTGTGGAAGGTGTGTGAAAGAAGAGGTCACCTCTCCCTGTGGACGACCTTACCGGGCTCACACTGAGCTCCCGGCACTTCCCATGGCCAAGATGTGGGGACCGGGCAGGTCGATGCCGATGCCGGCCACCACGGTGGCCACCTCAACCACAAAACGGCGGCACCGATAGGAGGTGAGAATATGATGACCCAATGAATCAAGCGAGTCGGTTTTGATGGTTTTTGTAGGTCTTCAGCAAACAATTACACTTGATCTATATAAATCTACAGTAGATCATGAAGTGTGTGATTATGGTGGAGGAACACAGTGTGGGGAAGCAACGCTATGATTCTATTCTAGGAAGGCAAGCAAGAAAAGGGGGGCTAACTCCATTCACTACTTGCTGCATGAGAGTTCACTGGGCTTAACTGTGAATCTGCGTGAGCTCGGCCATGTTTCCTTACGAGGACTCGGCCATCATCAGCAAACCATTGATGCCGCCCGAGGCCACCTGACGTCGGATTCTGCTTTCTACATAATCTACACTAATCTACACCTCCAAAAGAAGTCTCATGAGAACTTGACTTAGCTGCTCAAGGTATCCGGCACAAATAAGGATACTTGCACCGTCGTCGTATTGCTTCTTCCGCTTGGTGACGCATGCACAAGCGATAGAGTTGCCAGAAGTATGTCCCGAATTCAATTGTCAATTATAGCATCCACAAGCAAATGACTGAAATTAAATGTATTCAGTCAAGACCAGCATATGCAAGCCACGAGCCAATCAAACCTAAGGCACATCCAAAACATTCCAATAAATAACATCTCCAACCTCCCGACCATTTCTCCAAGTGACATCTCAGATCTGTGGGTTTCTTTCAACGCCAACCCTTGGAGGCCATCGCTTCCATTGCTATAAGAAACAAAGAAAAACGAAAAGGAAGAAAGGTTTATCTAATATGGCTTGCAATTGCAAGTAGGTCGGAGGCCATCGTGCCCAAACCATGCCCCGCTGGCCTCGTTCACGTAGTCACTGCCGATGTAAAGCACCGGCCGATGGTGGGCGCCTGGGGTGGCCTGGTCGGACCCCCGAAAGGAGGGAAAGAGGCTTTCAGTGACCCACCCAGTCTTTGACACTGTCTTTGACTCTTTTCTTTTTTGAATGGAGTGACTTCAATATCTGGTGCTAGTTACTAGCATGCAAACAAAGGACAATAAGTTCCCGATCTTTTCCATGTGTGTCTTCATTTCAATCATACTTGTTTTGAACCCCAGTCTAGCTCGGCACCTCTGCGCAGCAGGAGTTCTCCTCCGTGGGGTGCGCACCACCCCGATAGACATCCGCCATATCCGCTCGGCCCTTAGAGCGGAGGGTTCCGGGCGCCGGGTGAGACAAACAAGTGCCGATGCTACAGGTTTGATGTCCTGATACGAACGGAAATCAAACTGATTCGAACCTCAACATGGAGTTGAACATGGAATTCCACAGTCCCCCACAGGCCACGTTGCATCTCTGTTGCAAAATACAACAACAATTGTGAATCTGGTGCATCCTTCATGGGTCAATTAAGAACGAGAGTAGGAATTGAATTGCGAAGACCCGCTGATGATTTTATGGACACCCCATTCCACAAGGTCCCTGGCTGTTAAATCATGTTAAACCTCTACTTTTGCGGCGCATTTCCTCAGTTCCAAGGACCAGTCTGCGTGGTTCAGCCAGCAATATGCCGCAGGACCAGTAGCCAAAAGCATGGCGCAAAAGCATAGGACCTGAAGCGACTGCAGGTCCTGACAACCTGTTCACATCTTAGCCGCGACTACACACCTCCAAACACAGCCCTGGCCTGTGTTCATGCAAGGTTTGGTGGCATCCAGCTCGCAAACAATTACTCAACACCTGTTCTGAACAAGGTCATTCCAGTCACTCTCCCGTCGATGCATGTCGATGCACTCTCCACTCACCCAGCTGGGAGACGGGACCAGGGCAATGATGCTTCGTTGTTGAATCCCGGGCCACTCTTGCCGGCTTCTCGAAGCCGGCTTCTGGCGCCGCATGGTTCCGGGTGGACACCCCGTGCGAGCCGTTGGATCCCAAGGCGAAGATGCGGGTCCTAAGCGTTCCTAGTATATGATGCAAACTGGACTAAACTGAAGAGCCAATGCGATTCAACAGGTTTAAGAACTTGTTTCCAAGTGTTCAACATCAAACACTATTGATAATGCATGGAGGTGAACACATCAAAGCAAACAACAAAAGATTCTGCAATGAAGAATCTCCGAGTGCTGCGAACTTTTTCGCGACGCATCCGATCCCTGGTCTCAAAAAACCTTTGGCATCGCATTCTTGTTCTCATCGAAGAGCGGGGAGCATGGGAGTCCCAAAGATTTCAGGACGCTACCCCATTCATGTCCACTCCTCAAGCTTTCAGGTCCATAGGTGTACACTGGGAGGCCGCGAATGTCTTGGGTTTCCTGTTCAGCATACGCGCGTTGTCCCTCCACCTTCTGCCTCTGATAAAGGCGTTCATGCCACTTGGATCCAAACTTCGGGTGGTCTGCTTCCCTTCTCATCCACGCTGGAACCTTTTGTCCCGAGGCTTCCAATACCTTCACGATCTTGTCGTAGAAGCGAATGTCATGCTTGTCTTCCTCCAGGAAGGTGAGTGCAAAGCCAGGCTTCCCAGCTCGGCCAGTTCGACCCACGCGATGAACGTACTCAGTGATGCGAAGTGGGAATTCGTAGATGAGCACATGCAAGCAAGTGACGAAATCCACCCCACGTCCCAGGAGGTCAGTAGAGACCAAAATCCGTGGATGCTTCTCTGCAGGGTCTGCAAACTTCTGCTGTAGATCTTCCCTCAATCGCGTGGTCATCTCACCAGTCATGCCTGCGACGGAAAAGCCTTCATTTGTGAGCATGTCTACGACATGCTGGACAGAGGTTTTGGAATTCACAAAAACCAATATTTTCTCGTTCCCTGTGTCAGGCTCGTCTTGGACAAGCCAATATATAACCTTGTAGAGAGCATCATCTTTAGTTTCTTCACTTGTCCAGTAGGCCTGCAAGATGTCAGATTCTCTTCTCTCTTGCTCCTCCTCGTGATTTAGAGGCCTTTGGCTTTGGTGCCTTTTTTTCTGTCTTCTCCTTCCGAAGAAACCTCTGCTGCACAGACTTGCAAGCAGAGAGTTCCCTGCCATTCACAACAATCTCCAAAGGCGACCGATTGGCTCCTCCAGCGGCGTTCGAGACTTTCTGAGACAATCCGGCGTGCCAAGTGGCTGTGAAGCAAAGTAGCTGAACGTCAGGTCGCAGCTTCGACAAGAGCTCGGACAGGAACAGCTGTTGATCGTCTATGAGAACGCTATCCGCTTCATCCACCACAACAAAGGTCGTCCGCTTTAGAAAGTTCAAGAGCTGCCCGGGAAGATTGAGATTTTGCAAGAACTCCCACAGCTTGCCCTGGCAGGGCTGAGTGCGTACAACTTGGGAACGCGGAATAAGTAGGGGGGTACCAACAATTTCCAGGATAAAAAAGCGACACCCAAAAAATAGATTTTCCGGGAATCACTTTATAGGGGGTTGAATCCCCATTCGAAAGTTTTGATGTACAATGGAATTTCATGGATTTTATGGAAGCTACTAAGAACAAGAAGCTACTAGGGGCTCCTGGCCTTACTACTAGGAGCAAAGATGCTACTAGGGGCTCCTGGTAGGAGCATTCTTACTAATTCTAATTTAATTCTAATAGCTTCTTGTTACTACTAGTAAGGCACTTGTTACTAGGAGCATTCTTACTAGTAGCAAGTGTGTACTAGAGCTGATCGCCACCCACCACCTCAGCATGCCGTCTAAACCGTGCCTGGGAAGCGACCAAGATGTCGGCTTGGAACTCGTGCACGGACTGTACTTTTTGACCAGGCACCATGCTGCGAACAGAGAGATTGAAGGCTTTGCTGAACTTTGTTGCAGTACTCATGACCTGGTTCTGCTGGATTTCAGCATGGATTTGACAAAGGTTTACATTTCTAGGAGGCCACAGGCTATTTCTCCCTTCAACATTTTGTTCTTCTTAGACTTCTAGACTACACTGCAACCGAGCACCCTATCGGTTTTGTCCCGCCTGTCGCGCCAGCTCAGGATTTGGGAGTATAACTAGGCCGATAGGTCCTTCGCCAGGTTCTCCATGGCGCACATTACCCGGTTGCCGCGTGCAGTGCTCGAACAGCGGCACGAGGTATGCCAGGGTCTTGCCACTGCCAGTGGGAGCAACACCAATGATGTCATAGCCGCACATGGCAGCTGGCCAAACTTGCATCTGGATGGGTGTGGGGCTGCAAACGCCTAGCTCTCGGATCACCTGCAAATATTGATCTGACACTTTGGCAAGGGAAAGGTCGTCCACAGGTGCTGGCGGTCGGAGTGGCCGATTCTGGCGGGGGACCTCCGGGCAAATCTCAATGCCATTCTCAATGCGAAGACCTTCGACATCACTGGAGGTCCAATTGAACACAACAGGATGCTCTGTGTAAAAGTTCTTCTTGGGCCTGGTCAGTTCGGGATATCTTATCTCCGCCAACCATGGCCGTGGCCAGTTTCCCCTTCCGGATCCTCTCAAGGATGATTCCATGGCAGCTAGTGTGAGAACTAACTTGCCTTTACACTGTGCTCACAGCGATCATTACTGTATACCGTATACCCATACTGCATGTGTGATCAACATTTGTTTTGAAGCTCCAAAAACGATCACTCTAGAATAGTCTAGATAAACTCTGGTGCACTACAAGCTTTTTTTGATCTTTTTTGTACTCTGTGGCTCTGTGCACATGTTGCTTGACAACCTCAAGGCAGCACTTGGCAACAGAGTCGTCTGTGACATCGCCAACTATGCCATGACACCATCGCCGAACTTCGAGAACTGGACCGTGTCATGGTCTCAAACGACCTCCAGGTGATAAAAACAATCACGCCTCATCTGCTTGCTCTATAGGATTGTTGGATGGTCTCCTTTGCATCCACCTCAGGCATTCAAGGACCAAACCTGGAATATCCATTCCCCTTGATTGTTCATAGGCGGGTCGGCTTTTCATTTTATAAACCATTTGTGTCTATAAACCATTTGTGGTTATAAAATGTGAGGGATAGGTGTTTTGCTTTATACTGTAAAGTGCAAGACCAAGTAGTTTATAAAAGGACCAGCATAGGTCATGATAGGTTAAGATAGAAATCTACATCCAGGAGACACAATTTATGAAATGATAATTGCGAATCGGGGAATTCTGACCAGCCTCCAACACCTCGCCAACTGAATTCTTATGATATGATTTTATTTGTGGGTGCACCTCCCATCTATTACTGTCATTCACTCTCCAAGTTACTGAAGTTTATTAAATATGACTCTGACCTGTGTAAATCGATACTCCAATTCTTAGGCAGTTACTCCAGATCTTAGGCAGTTGTCCAAAATATTTGGCCAACATACAGGCCCTTGATGGCCCTTGTGTTTATAAACAATCCCTTGGAATTTGCATGTTATAAAGAAAAGGATCGTCGTTTCATAAGGCTTCATTCATGGTCCTGGAATTCTCGCTGCATCATAAGTCTTTAAAGGGAAGTGTGCTAATGGCTGAGAGAAAGCCTTGACCAAATAAGGAGAAAGCATGAGAATACCCAAGGCCAAATGCATCACCGCAAGACACCAATCCATCAACTGCACTTGTTGCAGTCTTAATTGCACCAAGCTACGAACAAGCAAGGATGGCCCACATCACTGGATCTTCAATTCATTGAACCGCCGAATCGTTTGGTTTGACAGACGACCGTAATCGTCCGATGTTGCCATCGATCGGATCGATCCGACACCGCATCTCGCCGCATCTGAGCTCTCCGGCATGGGCTCGTCGGTGAAACTGGATGATTCCAGTCGACTTGCCTCAGTTGACTTCGATTCTCCTCGGGCGTTCTACTTCTTGCCAATGCATTCAAATGCACATGATCCCATCAAAGCCTTCGGCCGCAAGTAATTAGTGTGAATTCTCTGGCCATGGACGCCCACGGGGACATACAAGTCTTTTTTCATATTTGTTCGAAGGATCATTTGCAAGCTAGAAACCAATAGGAAGTATAATTTGGAAGTACGTCAGTATGTCTACGTATAATATGAAGTTTCCGACTCAGTCGCTTGTGGCTGAACTTAACTCCTTCTAAGTCGAGAATCTGAGATAGGACTAGATATAGATGCTTCCAATATCACACGATTGTTTTACTGTGTGAGTGAAGTGAAACTTCACCACCCACACCCACCTCCCAAACAAATCACAAACATATCGTAGATCAACCATATTCAACCATGCTCAACCCATGCATGTACCCATTTACCCCATTCAACCCCTCATCCCCCTCTATCCTTCTTTTCTCCATCTGTCTGGTTTTGCCCCGGAATCGTACCCCCTGCGCCTCGGGGCCCTCGCGGCTCGGTGAAGACTTGAGACCTCCGTGGTTCCGACGAGACGATGCGGTGGAAAACGAGCAGGGACATCGCGTCGGTTGGATGACTTGCAATGCATTGCGTTTTGGGTTGTCTTTCATCGATTCTTTTCTCCTCTGAAGGGCAATGTATATACATAATATGATCAAAAATGATCAAAGAATCAAGCACCCATGCCATGTGCCACTGCAGAATTATCCTCAAAGACTCCCAAATTCCTTGAATGCAACAGGACACCACATGTCCCACCTGGACGTGGGCCAGGTGTCGCCTCAAATGCAGCCATTTGCGGTGTGGGCCCGCCATGCCGAGAGGGGCTCGGTCGGTCATTTCCTTCACAAGGATTGTTTTTCGGGTGGCTTCCCAACCAGCCATCAAGGGTTATCAACACGATCCATGTTGCAGTGCTAGGTGGAATCTTTCTGAGCATCGTGAAATGTGACTCGAAGGAAGGGGTACCTGGAAACCAAGATTGGAAGAATGACTCAGCAGGAGCTGGCTTAGCTCAGGTCAGCTTAGGTCTTTATATCGTATCACGGTCACCTAAATTTGAAGCTACAAGTATGTGGAGACTTGCGGTTGTCTCTCTGCAGCAACGAGTACGGCAAACGTGCTGACAAATAGATGATGCACTTGCAAACACACCCAAGGCGCTCAGCAAGTATGCGACCCACATGCTTGCGTAGCCTTCCAGCTTTGATTTCTGCCTTCTGCTTCATATAACTATATTATCACTATACTCGCAGGTTGCACTGACCTAGAAAGTTCTTCTGGCCCTTGGCTATCCAACAAGTGTCACAAAGGATATGTTCTATGCAAGTTTGTGGGCTTGCAACTCAGCTTTGTCCATCTCCCATACTGTGAATTGAACCACGAGCATCCTGCCCCCGAAGCCCTTCACTGTGCCCTCCGCTGTTCTGCGACGAGCTGTCTGCCGAAGCCTAGCAAATGTCGTTGTTTGCAGTGACACAGTCATTTGAGCCATGGCCATGGTCGACGTTTGTTGTTCTTGCTATTGGAGAGTTGCTGGTTCTTGTCCCAAAGGCAAGTTGCCTTGTTTTCACTGTGGCTCTAGTGCCAAGGTCACCGCGCAATCCAAGGCACTTACACTTACATGCACTTATTATGATGCCCTCATTTTCATACCCACCGATCCGCCCGCCGCATCTTGAGCTTTCGGCTGGTCAAGTGACTCATCGGTGCTATGGTTTGACATTGCAGCAGGAGGCATTGATGTCAGCGCCAGCTCAGCTTCAAAAGAGTTCTCTTCTAGCTTGATCAGCTCAACTGTGATAAGTTAGGAGGCAAATCCCCATGTTGGTGCTGGATTTGCGATTCTGATTTGCCTCGTCTTGGCGGCCATTTTGTTGTGGCTGGCCGAATTGGCTTTGAAACTTGAGGCTCGGCAATGAAGCTGAGTTATTCTATGATATACCAGTAGAATGATATAGAGGCATCTTGCTCTGTGACTCATGTTGATTTTTGACTTTTGAGACAGGCAAGCTTGTGCACAAGAGCTTTCAGTCACACAGTCTGCGATCCAACATTCTTCAGTAACACAACTCGGAAGCATGACACGGCTGGGTGTGCCTCGAACACACGCGAAACCGAATGGACCACATGCAGATACTGTTGTTGCATTGTTTCATGTCATTCACCCTACAAAGTTGCATCTTCCTATACGCCGGCTCATGTCATCCCACCTCATCCTGTAGGCGAAGGACGTCCCTTTTGGCCTCGTCAAGGCATGCTGCTGAAGCTGCTCCAGTAGCTCCTCAAGCGGAAGCAGTACCATCAACATCGGGGGAGAATGGCTCAATTGAATTGGTTTCATCGATCACTGGAACAACACACGCAGCGATTTGCAATCCTTCTCGATGTTGCAGCGATTTTTGAACGCCCAAGAAAGAACCATCTACACAACAAAGGTGGATGGTCATTTTGAAATGAACACCGTTGAATGTATGAACCATGTGTCTTTTTGTGTTTGTTCTTTTTCAGCTAAAAGAACATGCCGTTTGCATGAAGGAATGGCAAAACACCAGTTTGGAACTCCTTACTGCGTGTCATGCAACATGTCGCTATCATTTCCCCCTTTGGCCCCCATCAGAATGCATGTACATCGCTCATAGACTCATAGACTCATAGACTCATAGACACAGAAAATGGTTGCCAAGTTGCTGTGCACTGGAGAGCTTGATCAGCCTGAGCATTTTGGGGGAACACAAAGGACCGAGCTGGCGAAAACTCCGCACACTGACCTGGAACATCATTGAGGAAACACATTCTATAACTATATGAAGGCCAATTCCTCCCAACAAAAACACACACACACACATGCTGTAACATGCAAAGCAAAGCAAGCAAAACAAAATAACGTCAGTCAAGTGGAACAAGCCACACAAGCATCCACTGCAGTTGCCACGCTGATCACTTCGGGTTGAGGGCCCGAGAGCCGCATCTCCGCAAGTACTGCAATCCTGAGGGCGAGTTTTCAACGCTACGGTCACCGTGAACAGTCACCGTGTCGTTGTTCTCCGTGAACGGTTCGGAATTGGCCGAAGCACGTCTGGGCAGAACGATACACTGCTCCCTCTGTGAATCCTGGTGCCTTTGTGCCTTCGCAAATCAACGACCCAGAAAGATTTGTGCTATCTGACCCGGATTGCCACCGACCACCGAGGATGTCAGAAAGCTCTACAGGTCGCTCTCCACGAGCCGGCGTGGATGCCGGGCTTCGCTGATTGCCAGTCAGACGCATGCATGCAGCTGCGAAGAAGCAAGTTGTAGCCAATCCTTAGATTGAATCATATGTCATTGTTTGAAGCACCAAATCCCGCAAACAGCTATGGTGTTTACGTTTTGTGTTTTGTGCTGTCCATCCAAACATCTGAGCAGTTCAACAGCTACAAGTCTCAGGTCCACTGGCTGCTCACCAAGGACATCTATCGCTGCTTGCCACAACTGCGACTTCTCACATGCACTTGCGCAGCTGTTCAAACTCACCTTGCGCTCAACCGGCTGGACTCGTTCCATGGAACGGCGACACTCTTACGATTGAGGGCTAGAGGAATGAGCATCCAAACGAAGGTATATACCTTTGATGACCTTTGAGACTCAACAAAAGGACGCATGCTTTGACAAATGAGACAACAATGCTGGCACCACCACTGGACCTGAGAGTCAACAATGAAGTCAAACAAAAGTTCGGAACATCTTAATGAAGATGTGAGCAACACCCAAATCTATATTTTTGTACCAGTCAGAAAACATCCTATTGGTTGGGGACCTGGGTCAAACACACTCTGTTGAACCCAGTGATTCTGTCAGCCTTCCAAGCGTACCCAATCCTTCCAAGCTCGAGCCCTACTTTCACCCCGGCATCCAAATCCTCCCTGGAAAACATGTTCGGAATCCCGACCTTTTTGGGAGACCTGCGCCTCCTTGATCCAATGAAATCCACTCCACATCAAGCACCGCCTCCTTTTAGACCAATCCCTTCGCATCCCTTGGCACCGATGATCCCAATAGGACGGTCAACTGCCTCGTCGATTTGGAGGGTCTCGCTGCACATCTGCCCCAGTGCGACCAGAGAGGAGCGCCAATCATCGACCTGACGTTCGCTCGAGCGGATCCCGAGAACGGGAGAACAAACCGAAAGGCTGTGGGTCAAAACTGGAGCAACAGTTTAGGGCTGGGGTTTAGAGATAAAACTGGCGATGTTGATGGCCAAAGACGGACGATTCGAATTGTCTGATCGAATGATCAAGACTTTACACGCGCATCACAAGGACACGTCGTACGGAATCGTGCCATGCGGTATTGTTGAAGAAAACAAATAGGAAGCACCATATGGACAGGTGACAAGTGTGTTGAAAGGATGGCCAGCCATTCAAGTTCTTTGACTCATACAGCACAAAGCTGTTGTTCCCTTTGGAAGAACATGTTGATCGCATCTCCATTGGCGAAAAATCGCATTTCGTGCCTTCTCAAAGGCAGCCAGGAGGGCATTTTTGGCGATCAAACTCCTCAGGCTGGCGGCTGGACATTCTGTGCTAGGTTGGTGGCTACAGACATATTTTATAAATGTGCTCCCAAAAAAGTGCTCCTCAACTCACTGTGAAAAGCTATAGCTATGAGATGCAAATGTATCCAGCACCTTCTGCTTTTGGGGCGATCAAAGTCTTTGAATTGAGGTGCCAACGAATGATGACTGGGCAAAACTCCTTAGGGGATACTAAAAATGCGACAAACCTAAACAATTCTAGTGGGCCCATTGAAGGCAAATCATGAGTCTGCACTCCAAGCATCAAAGCACTCCAACAGTTCTTGGCATTCAGCAAGGTCAATGACCTCAGACCGCAACATGTTTGAAGTCATGTTGTACAGGCTTATTCCCCACAAAGGGCCAAACGCTGAACATCCCTCGTGAAGAGAATCATCCCAAGAATCATACCAATCCTTTCAGTCTGCCTTCGTTTGACCTATGTTCGTCCAAGGGTCTGCTGCCAAAGATGCCCTCTTTCGCAAACACTCATCGCTGCTGCCATCCCCACTTCATCCACCCGCACCATGGATGAAGCTGCGGAGGACAGGAGGGCCAAGCTCGGCCTCTCAAGAGGGACTCAGTCTCAAACAGATTTCATACTGGATTGCTCCTCAGCCCCTGAAACTACAATGCTAGACGAAAGCTTGGACACTTCGTACCCAACCAAAATCCCAAAGCCTTAGTTGAGGTTCTCTTTCCAAGGGCTCCAACCGTCGCCTCCAGGGCTCCATCGCTGCAATCGCCGCGTTGTAGGTCACTGTGCCAGGCCGCACCTGCCGAAGCGCCGCAGCAGAAAGCACGGAGAGGGCCAAACGCCACTGGCGCCCGGTGCCCAAGGCGGTGACGAGAGCATTGAAGGTCACTAAGTCTGGAGGAACCTGCGCTCATCGCAAGAGGAGCTCTGCAAAAAAGGAAACAGATACAAAACAACAACACAACTAGAATTCCTGGTGTATTTCTGAGAAGAAATGATTACATGGTCTGCTTGAGATCTACATAGATCTACGATATCTTGCCGAATCTTGCCCACTTGCAAGTGCAGTACTGATGGACATCTCAGCAAGTTGCATTGCCCAAAAAGCCTCTAAAAGGTCTGAGCTAATGCACATTGCCTCTCAAAGGTCTGGTCACCATCCGAAGTTCTCCCAACCTCTTGTGTCCCACTCTTGTTGTCCCATCTATCCCAAGTCATATTGATCTAGGTCATCCTAAGTCACCTATCATGTCATCCATTGCCTTCATTGACTCGAACACAACCAAAGCGCGCTGCCACTGCGAGGCTGCACCACACGCAGTCATGGCTGAATTGTAGGAAATGAGGTCAGGTGTGATGCCAGCCTCAAGAGATTCATGCAGTTCTGTGATCATCATGATCATGGCACGCGCGAGTTTTGGGGAATGCCTCTTCTGTTCGCTTGTGGTGAATTGGGCCATGGAATCTCCACCATATCCCTTGCTACAGGCTGGGCCGGCTGACCTTCTTCTTGGGCTCCTAACTCCGACTTCGCCGACTGCTTCTTCGAAAATGGTCCGGCCTCCAGCAATTGGAGAGACCAGTGCCACTGCATGTTCTCTCCACACGCAGCGATGGCCACATTGAGCAGAATGGCGTTGGGTGCAGGAGCCACCCACAGCAGGCGTAAAGCTTGTGGCCAGTGACCGCCAGCACCATATGCTGCAATGGCGGCAGCGTAAGTGATGGAGTCCGCAGTGCAGCGCTTTGCCAAACCTCTTTGCAAGGTGCAATTCCGGTAGGACCTCATTACAGTACTATATTCATTACTAGTGTCTTCGACAGGTGACTATGTTGCGCATGACTGTATGAGTTGTTGATCATGAGGCTATCTACAGTAATATAATTGCTTGTAGTCTCGGGTATCCGAAGGAAATTGACCATGCATTTCTTGGCCTCTTCCAGTCTCCATCTGTTCCAGCAAAGACAGCACCCAGGCCCACTGGGCTGAACGTTGCAAGCAGGTCGCCAAGGCGTTGCTCGTGGTTTGGGTCACTTTTTCACCGAGGTCTGCGGCAATGTGAAGACAATGTTCCCAGTGATTGCCAAAGCTCAAGGCTGTCATGAGTGCTGTGCTTACCACCTGACACCCATTGAAGCGCTTTTCGACAAAGGGACGCGGCATTATATCCAACAAAAGTCTCAAGTTCCTTTGCCAGAGTAAGAGCCGCCGGTGCTCTTTAGTTTGTTCTGCGGCAACATCTAAAACATAACATAATAAACACTGGTTCAACATGTTTCAACTAAGAATTCTTGCGAAAAGAAGACTGTTTTGGTCGGCAACAAGTTTAAACTAGTTTTTGGATGTGTTTGGCAAATCCCAGGATCGATGTCTGCTTCCAATCTCTCCATCAGCATCTCCTCAAAAAGCTCTAATGCCCAGCGCCACGAGCTATCTTCGCAAGCGCTGATGGCTGCACTGCAAGTCATCTCGTTGGCTGGAACCTCCTGCTGCTGCATCAGGCGCACCGCCTTGGACGTGCATTCCGGTGTCTTGAAGTCCCAAGAGCTCCTTGAATCTCCAGGAAGGCAACATCAAGCTAAGTCTCCCGATCTCTGAATCTGAAAGACACCTCCCGAAAAATGTTCTCCCCTTCTGACAGGTTGTGCCACTTGCAAGGATACTAACCTAGTCTGAAGAAATCAGTGTTTCAGCAACTGCAGCCAATGTGCTGCCATCGCTAGCTGCCAATTCCGAACTTGTGCACAAGCACTGATCAGGCTGCCATATGAGACAACATCCGCCTGAACGGAAGCGGAGCAGCATGCTGACATGGGGTGTCAGGTTTTGACGGATAACTCATATCAAAACCAACCCCCCCAAGAAGCATCTGCAGGATGCTTCAGCATGCTTCAGCTGAATATGATTATGACCTGACCAGTCCTCAAAGCTGCTCTTTTCAGTCAGCTGTTCTTTCAGCTTCCAATCCTGGATGTCCTGTTGCGCCAAGTCGTGAAACAGCGCCAAGGCCCCTTGCCAGTGGTGCCCTTTGGCACAAGCGCCTCAGGGGGTCCAGAAGTAAGCCGACAAGGTCGAATGAAAAGGTGTTGGCCCAGCATTGGTGTGTTTTTCATCGAATGTCCTTTTCGAAAAAGCACCTGTCAAAGCTGGAAAGCTGGCTGGTCAACTCTTCTAAACAGACTCACCATAGTTACAGTATAGTTCCCAAAAAGAGCCAGTTGTCCTAGGTTCAAAACACTGATCAATATGAACTTTGAAGCGATGGTGGCTTTTTCAACCCATCGAAGCATTGCATCGTGACCAGTCTTGACCCCCTCACTCCGTCATGGACAGCTCGGGAGTGCCAGGTCACTGATGGCAGTGTTGCAAACCACCACATTGGCCTTGCCCCCGACACCCCAGAAGGTCGGATGCGGATTTTTGTTCCACGTCGCTGACAGCCAAGCCTCACCTTCTTCCCAACTGATTTCGACAAGCTAATAGAAATGGCCTAATAGAAACCTTACTAGCGATGGGCTCCAACCTGAGCTTTGCAAAGCGAAGCCAATGAATCTTGAAAGTAGGTAGAAGGTGCACCTCATGCGAAAGGATCACCATGGTAAGGACTGACTATGCACACGCAATGGGGACAGGGACCAAATCATGACATTTGGTCTTTAGAAGCCTGGCGACCTGCCCGACGCCCGCTCATTCTCGCTGGCATCCCGATTCGTAAAACAAACATGTCCTGGTCCTGGTGGTTAAACCCTCCGTTTAAACTTAGCAGCAGAAAGTAAGCTCATTCCATCTGCTCATAATTACATGCGATCAATATCCTCTGGCCAGTCAAAAGCGGAACTTGTTCCCTTCATGGCCGTTCACCCCCAATGTCACAGTATATCCACCTTTTCCATCCTTTTCCCCTAGAATCCCCTAGATTCTTAGGTTGGAGGCCATCGCTATTAGGAACACCTAATAAATGATTCTCCTCTGCCCCCCCCGTTGGTGTCCTTCACCGTCACCTCTTGCGCGAGCCGGATCGCGCCCAAAGCTGCTGGCCATTCTCCGTTCTGCGCGCAAGCGCGGACCACGGCTCCACAGGCGTAGACGTCCAGTGGAAAGCTCGGGAATGACAGGATAGCCAAGGCATCTAGCCAACCTTGGAGCAAGCGAGAGTTGTAGTCTGCTTCCCTGCGCCGGCTAAACGTGAGAGATGGGGTCAGGCAAAGCTTAAACTTGAGGAAGGGTCCAGCGTCACTCGTTTGGTCTTTCGCATTCTTATGCAGGTTCCTAGGATGCAGCAAGGTACGACATCAAGGTCCCAAATTCACAAGTCCGTTCATGCGGGTGCATGTCACTAGCATGTCAAGATCCAACGTAATTCGTGCATATCATGACAGACCGCAGTGGTCCATGCAAATATTCTTCTATAAACTTCTATATCCGATGCTCTCGGCTCTCGGCATCTCCTCTGCCATGCCACGTCCTTGCCGACCAAGCTCTCCGATCTCCGCCACGCGCGCGGCCGAGCGTGCGTGGGCGGTGTCTGCCGGAGCCATACGACATGGCGACAAAGTGCGTCTTTGACTTGGAGAACACACGGCGACCTGCGTCCTCTTACTGTACCTCTTTGTCACAGGACCCACCATTCATATAGCCAATGAAAGCGGTCATTTCGATCCTGTAAATGTCGATGTGCTTAAAGGTAAAAGGGGGTTCACATCCAAGCGGGAACTGGGACACACAGGCCGCCCAGGGAGCATGGGTCGGAGTTTGGACTTGCTGAGTCAAAGTCTTGGGTCTATTGCAACAACAATAAGTTATTGCAACCACAGCAAAATGCTGGTGCGAATGGGTCTCCCGTGACTGTTCTTCTACTCTTTCTGATTGCTTCATGTCTGCTTCTGTCAGGCCGTCAGGCTGCTTGGTGCAACAAAGACGCCAGGCCAGCATTCTGTTGAAGGTTCGAAAAGGACCGAAAACATCCAAAAACCTTCATGTGGGCGTGTATTGAAATAGGGAGACCCCGAAAGGGCCTCGCTAAGGCACCAGAGGCCCACTTCAAGCAAGCACGCTCCCATTTTGGTGTAACACATTGCTCTTCACTGCAGAGATCATAACACCTCCTGCTACACCTCACTGGGTGTGCACGTCGTTGAGCTCACCCAAACGGTTGGCGCGGCCGTTTGGGTGAGCTCAACCTCGCCAAAAAAAATCCCGTTTACTCTTGGGATCTGTGCGGGATTCTGTGGAGCTGCCCGCAGAGAAGGAAGCGCTAACCTCCCGGCCAGCAGTAGCAAACTCTGCAGCTGGGCTCGAGAGCCTCTGTTTGTGATTCCCAAAGCCAGGTGATGCTTTGATCATTGAATGCTTTGTTTCCGAAAATCAGTGGAGCAATCTTTGTTCTCACATTCTCACACCCCGCACTACTAGAAAGCTTCTGCCAAATCGCAAACATTCAGAACAAAGAAAAATCAAGCATCAGTTCTTGAATACCAGCCATTGTCCTCAGCCATTTCCCTCAGGGCCAACCAAGCAGCAGAAGCCTCTCCAACACGGATGCGGATGCATGGAAGCCAGTCAAGGCCATACACACTCATGATTGATCATCATGGTCCACACAGCGGATGGTCCCGGCCCAGAGTTGGCTTCTGATGTGCACTCCATGGCTTCGCCGTGGGTCTCCCCCCGGTCACATGGGGAACTGCCCAGGTCTGGTCGGAAAACTCAGGACTGCGGTGGCTGCCGAATGATCAAAGGGTGCCCTTCCTGAGACACCAGGGTGATACATACGGCTCCCATGCGACCGACTTTAGTAGCCTGGGCCAAGGTTGCTTGGGTCACAAGTACCAAAGCCACTGGCATTGTCGCTCTCACTTGCGGAACGTGCTCACTCCCAAGACCACCATCGGTCCTCTGTTGTTCTTGTAGCACAGTCGAGCTGCTTTGGGCACCTCCCATGGAGCAGCAAACCCAAGCGGTGCTATAGAGCGGGAGCACCCTTGATGATCATGCAAATCATTGTCCAAATTGCAGGAGTTGCTGGCTGTCATGCGAATACTTTTGCTGAAGGTACCATCAGCTCTCAGCCGTGCTTTGAGATGCAACGCCCATATCCCTCACACAGGCTGGCAAGCGTGCGACTGGGCTCGCTCGGCCAGGGACAGGGCACTGAGAGCAGGGGCTTTAATGTTTACTGTAAGTTGATTCGCCACCTTCCAAAACTGGTTATCATTGGTGTAGTTTTTTGATTAACATGTCTATGCAATGAAGTTTGCAAAGCTCACCCATATTGTAATCAAACAAGCGTAACACAACATCACAAATGAGATTCAGTTCTGGAAGGTCACGAATGAGTTTGAATCCGTCCCAGCAGCACCTCTGATCGTCAATCCGGATGGAGGTCTTGTCAAAGCTCCACAACTTATGGTTGCTAGCCCAGCACATCACGGCTTGCGATCGTGCCACAGCAGCCACGCTAGTTCGATAAGTGAGATGTTTAGCCATGCATCTGATGCTTCCTCTCAGCTCAATGTACAGTAGTTTCTAATTTCAATCCTTGGAAAGCAACATCCTCCAACTCAACCAGAGCTTCACGCAGCAGCCCTGGCTTCACCGCGCTGAAGCTGGCAGCCGTGACTGTAGCATAGATGTCGGCATCCTCAAGGAAAACGCATTCTCAACTCATGTTTTAAGGCGGTTTTTCTTGTTTTGACACCTAGATCATGAACCCGACACTGAGCGGTTGAAATCAACATTGAAACATTTGGTAGCTTGGCCTTCCCTGCCCCAGCCCCGTCCTTGTGGACCAAGGCCAAAGTCATCTCCTGGTACAAGTGCAACGTCCTGGCCCAATCCTTGGACGACAAAAACTCCCCAAGCACAGCAGAATCCCAAGCACACACAAATACGTGCTAGAAAGCGGAATCATTCGATCAGCGATTCCCTGCGTCTCCCCAAAATGTTCGGCTTTTCAGTCTTTTTCGGTAAGGAGTTGAAAGCAAAACTAAAGCCATTGGGAAGGGAGAGGTGCACACCCTGAACTGTGGGAGACCATGTGCCATGTGTTGCAGCTTAAACTCACACGTTGAAGCCAATACAGTACCATACACTCCGATGCACTTGTTAATATCAAGATCAACAGCCTAGTGGGCAAACCCGGAGCAGGTTCCGCATGCAATGCATGCGAAATCATTTTTGACCTCAATAATCAACTGACAGTTTCATTGCAGGGTTTTTCGTACATGGGGAGTACCAGCTACAACCATTCATGCTCTCTTATACTTCCCAATCCCAGAATGCTGGTGACTCGAAGAATCATAACTGCAAGCGCGCATGGCTGCACCGCAAGCTGATGTCTCCCATGGCACCTGAGTCGGACCAAGCCGAGGGCTCCGAGACCGACCGGACCAGTTCCAAGGGCTCGAAGGCTCTCAGGCTGTTCGATTTGGCGAGCTGTGCATCTCAATCGCAACAGTTTGCAGGGCCTCATGTCAGTGCAAACGAGGGCCTTAGAGCTATGACACCTCACTGAAATTGGCCTCCTACATCGATTCTATAATTTCCGGCCTTGACTCTCAACGGCCTTGATCCATCTCTTGGTGTAATGGATGATTTGTGCTCCTGGTTTGCACCGAAATATTATATCATCCGTTTGACCCATCAGAGTCCGCAAGTTCCGCACACCGAGGCACCATCCGCAAGAGTTCCAGCGCTTCCCTCCATCGCCGTGGCTTCGCACAAGCACCTGTCGTGCGCGAGCCTGCCCCTGTAGCATGTGATCTCCCCGGCCAGCTGTCTTTCCGTTGACCACAGGCTGTTGGCCAGGTACCGTTTCTGTATGTCTCTGTTGAGGTCGGCAGACAGATTCGAGCGAACGGACGTTGAACGGTTGGTGTTTCGGAGGCTTGGCGAACGCTGGTTGCATTGTCTGACACTCATGGCCTTTCAGGCCTTTTGTCTCTCTATATGTCTCTCTTAGGTTTCTCTGGGGGGCAACTGGTCACTCGGATTCACGTACCAATATGTCCCATATATCCTGTCTGTGACAATGGTGACTCTTGAAAAACATCTTCAAACGGGAGGGTTGTCGATCAACCATTATAATACAATATTGACGATTTATCCCACCTGGAGGTTCGTTCTCCGTTAAAATTGGTTGCCCTGTTTTTGCTTCATCGTTTGGGGCAAAAGCCAGCGACTGACTCAAATGAACTTGGATTCCACTTGCTCTATATGCATTTTTGCGGGCGCTGCCTGCGCGATTCAGCGGGATTTCTGCGGGACTTCAGGCCGGCAGCTTTTGGGTATGCTTCGATTTCAAGCACCCACTAAATCTTGGGGACTTCCAGTGGTCTGTAGAGGTTGTAGAAAGCTTGCGTCTTGGGAGATAAACAGGCCAACAACGGCCACGAGCACTTCCCTTAAGAATGAATCTCCGGAAAATGCAGAAAGCAACTCTGGCATCTTCTATCCCTGACTATCATCCTAGTCACATCCACTTCATACGCCCTTGCTAACTTGGAGTTCGAATCTGCTGAGCTGCTGATAGCTGAGCTGAAAGTTCTCCAACTCAACTCCACTGCAGAGAGTGTCAGCCTCACGACATGTATGATTGCCAGGGGAGCAGAAGCCAAACGGGGAAGACTCCAGCCTGAGCTTTTTTGCAGAAAATTCATCTCCATTCAAAGGACGTCAGGATTTGGCGAGGGTGTTATGGTTTCGTTCTATTTGTTCAAGGTTTTGTATACTATCATCTTTTGGTGAGTGCAGTGATTGTAGTTGTGCAGCTAACACCTGCGCATTGAGATCTTTCATGTGTGTAGTGTTCGGCTAATTATGACTGTAGTCGTTCCACATATTTTATGATATACTATATATATATATATGCATCATAGAAAAAGGAAACAAGTAACAAAATAAGAGTAACAACGTCTCAGGCAGAAGAGATCATCCTTTTAGGGGTGGATATTGCTACTCTCTGACTCGCAGTCAAAACAGGGTCTGCACATGTCTGGATGTCTGACCTATGCGAAGAATCTACTGGATTGCCAAGTACTAGTGCAAATAGTGCAACAAAAGGCAACAAGATTCTTGTTGGTCTGGGAACGGGCAAGCAGTCCGGAACAGGAATCATCCTGATCTAGTTGCTCCTGCTACTTGCTGGTGGCTATGAAGCGCGAGGGAATGTTGGCATTCTCACCTGAAAACCTCTCAGCGGTCGCCAAAGGCAGCTGCCCCGACCGGGCCCCTACCTTCCCAGCAAAGCCATTGCCGCTTCCCATGCACTCCCCTTCTCACAAGCAGCGATCGCGGCATTGTACCTGAGGCGACGCAAGTATTCAACATCCAGGATGTCGAACACCAAGCTGCAGCTCTCAAAAGACGTGTGATGACTTGTGATGGGATGGTCGGATGGTCTTCGCACTATGGAACATATATAGCCTTGTAAAACTCTCTCGTGGACGGTCCAAGTATCAACTCACACAAGCCTTGCAGACTGATCAACATCCAACTAGGGCCTGCGATCTTCTTCTTGAATACCACTTCCCCAATCTGAGAAACGACCTGAAACTCCCTCTATACAAAGAAAGTGCAAAGACGTAGGTTGAGGAACTAAGCTTTGGTCCGTTCTGTCAGACCTAGTACCAAGGATGCTGGCTGCGATTGGCCTGGAAATGTCTTTCGCTCATTGTTGTTGAGAAATTCCAAGTAACCAAAGAGGTCAACGGACAAATAACGGACAAACCGATGATGGCAGCTCAGCTGGCACCAAACTTCTTCAGCCGACATCTGTCTCCAAGGTGCACCACCACATCCAGCTCCACGGTCTTCTGTGCTTCCAAGATTGTCAGGGCCAAAACCCATTGAGCACACCTCCCAGCTGGCAGAACAAGCCACGTTGAGGGCTTCACAAAGGGTGTATATGGGTTGAGTTGTTTTGGGGACATGTATCCTGGCTTCTGGACCCCTCTTTCGGTTGTACCCAAAGCACATGGACTGTCAAATGATTGTCAGTAATTATTCTTTCTGCCTCTCGAGTAGGTTCAGTCGCACTACCCAGGTCGAGACTAGTAGGACTCGAGACTGCTGTTTTGTAGACTACTCTCATCTATCCTGATCCTTTACAAGAGTATTCTACCACTCTGTTTCGACGACATGAGCCCATCCAATGGGCAGAATGAACCAGAATATGGCCTATCCGATTCCCGATCGGATGATTGTAGGGGTGATTGGCGGGGCGCCTTTGCCAATCTTTCATCCACTTCCAGGCTGGCGATGTTTTCGATGTTGCTGTAGATGGCTCACGGATAGGTTTTAATGCGGTTCCAATGATCTCTCAACCTGGTAATGCTGATCGTAGTTACACATAGTTACACAATGTTACACACATACCGACCCAGTACCGGACAGTATCGCAAAAATGTTCCAAGTTGGACTCTGCTGAAGCCTGCATCCACATCTTTCCGATCTTTCAACGGATTTCTACCTCCGACCCCTCCCTCTACAAGGCAAACCCCCCCCCCAAGCGATGCCTTGCGCATGCACTGAGTGCAGCGGCCAGCGCAACTGCTGTGAGCTGTACAGAGGCAACAAACATTCTTTGCAGCAGGAGGACAGCTGCCTGCCACTCACCGCCTTGGTGACAGATCTGGTGCAAATTAGATCAAATTAGGAGTTTCGATGCAAGAAAACTTCACAGCTCTCCGTCTCATGTCAAGACTCGTTCAATGCCGAAGACGCGACGCGGTGATGTTGTGCCGGGTTGGCTGAAACATGCTGAAATAATGTTCTTTGCCGATGTTTGCTCGAGTGTGATGCATGTTTGTAAGGAAGGCAAAGTATCAATGACCAAATCGGATTTGAAAGGAAGGCCCCTACCCACCAGAAAGAGACTTTTATGGATGCATCCCAGCAACTTGTTCAGAAGCACGAACCAACCGCTCTCACAACTACTCAATTGGTGAGGGGCAGGTTTCTGGGATTCCCTGGAAGACTCTGATCAAACTTCCTTCCTTATGGCATGGGCAATATCCTTGGCTGCCCCTGTCTCAGGGATTCCTCACATATCCAAATGATTTGGCAGACCTGCCGCTGAAAAGTGCAAAAGGATTGAATCTCGGAGTAGTGGATGACGCAGAAAATCCCTCGAAGGCAGCTCTTCTTACATGACATGTCAATGTCACCATTTCTTATCCAATTGGAAACCTTCCCTACTAGTGTCCCCAACTACCTCTTGCTATAAAGGCCGTCATCAGGTCTTGATCTTAACATATCTTAACCCTCCTTAGCTGCGCCTGGAATCCCACATCCCAGTGGCTCTTCTCACATGCGCTGATCACCGACCCAAAGCTCACGGCATCAGCGCCCAGCTCATGTGGCACCGATTGGAGTAGCGTCAGAGCGTGTGGCCAGGCACCGCCACACGCGGACATGGCCGCATTGTAGGCCACCTGGGTCGATCCGGACCACCAAAGAGTCGTTCGGAACAACGACTCTAAGACTGACGGTTCGAAAAGGGGTAGGCCATCTGGGGATCCTAGTGTAGACCGCAAAATGAGGTCGAAGCTTTTGTGTCCATTTTGGGGTCCTGTGACAATAGTGTCCCTTTAACCCAGAGATGTTGCTCAACTGTTGTGCTTGTTGACAGACGGGCCGAGACCTGACGGAGGTGTTGGCACGTGTATTTTTAGTGGGACTGATGGAAGGTCAAATACTACAAGAATCCCTTTAGCTGGCCATTCTTGGCGTCATGGGCTCTCAGCTGCAGCCAACCCCTGGGCTTTCTGACCAAATCCTTCTTGATGGACTCGTCGGTCATCTGCTGAAACAATGCCTGCAATCGTGGACACTTGATGTCACCAGGAATGACATGGAATGGAATAAACACTTGGTCTTTCTTTCAACCCTTCAACGTGAACATCAATTCGAGGGAGAAAGGCACAACTTTGGGGTTTGCTATTCAGAGTGCCTTGCCAGTGCTGCCAACATGTGTTCAGTCTAAGTCCATAGTGAAAGGCTACCTATCAGGAACATGAACTTGCAAGAGAGTTCACTGGCTCAGTCACCGTGTTTCTGGACATGCACAAAAGACGTACCAATGGACACGTAAGAAACCAACAAAATCACAAATCCCTTGTAGAATCTTGTAGATACAAAACACAGCCCGGCAGAAAGCTTGTGGCATCCAGTCCGGCATAAGCCCACCCGGCATGGCACATGTTGAACAATGCATCACTAACTTAACCTCCACCCTAGTAGCAATGGCCTCCACCCTGCCTGATGTCGTTTGGGTTAACGTGCCAAGGAACCAAAGCGGTTTGCCACCGCTCCTCACCCATGCCCTGCAAGGCAGCAGTGTAGGTCACCGAGTCCTTCGACACTAAGAGCTCCTGCATCTCCTAACATCGCCGATCCATGCGCAAATTATTACTAGCAAGAAGCTACTAGGGGCTCCTGGCATCGCTACTAGGGGCTCCTGGCCTTACTACTAGGAGCAAGAAGCTACTAGGAACAAAGGGCATCGCTACTAGTATTGTGGAGTCAAAGACAATTCATTGTGACACAGATTTCGGGGGGCCCGTGTTGAGGCCCTCAGCGGACAGCATGGCCTGGCTGGTGGGCGCCCTAAGCCTGTTCTATTACTATGTCGGTGCACTCAGATAGTGGTGGTACCAATAGTTCCCGAAAGTGTACAGGCAGCCGTACTGCATACAGTAGCATATTTGGGGAATGAAAAAAATAGCCAGCAGCATGACCGGAGCATGGCCTCTAAATGGCTACTAGCAATGGCCTCTAAATGGCTACTAGCAATGGCCTCCAGCCTGCTAGCAATGGCCTCCAGCCTACTAGCAATGGCCTCTAAATGGCTACTAGCAATGGCCTCCAGCCTACTAGCAATGGCCTCCAACCTCCTAGCAATGGCTACAGCTTGCCGTACTGCATACCGTAGCATATTTGGGGGATGAAACAATAGCAGGCAGCATGACCGAAGCGTGTGGCAATTGGTGGATTCTTGTTGTTTCATGCATTTACTGTACATGTCAGTCATATATTTATATATCCTCCATATTCTATCTCTCACCCTGGAATTTCCATATTCTATCTGCTTTTTGGGGCCTTAGGGTTTTAGGCTAAAACTATATTCCAACTGTACCCTAGACTGGTTTTAGATTCTATCTGTCTGTCCATCACTGTAGAGTTTTTTGTGTCACGGAAGGACACATGTTTTGATCCGATCCACATGGGAACAAAGCTGACCAACTGCAAAAGATGCCCCTGATTTTTTAAGTAAACCACTGCGCTTGGAGCAAAATTGCAAACATGTATTTGAACAAAATCAGCCAAAGGTCGTCCAAAAGGCCGAGGATGATGAACCAATGCCTGGAGCTGCAAATAAATAGCAAACCTCTTTTTATATCATCCAGAACCGTCTGGAGAGTTATCACCACTCAAAAACCCAACCGTGTGGTTATATAGTTTGCGCATGGGGTCTGCCTGTTGTGTATCTCACCACAAAGTGAGTGTGTCCAACATGGAATCAATCACACCCACGCACCCTGCCACATCTCACTGGACATCTGCAACCCAGCAACCAACTTTGGAACTCCAATTCATCTTCACCAGTCATTCTTCAAAAACAACCGTTTTGTTTCTTGCAAGACCAGCTGTTATATATATATATGTACATCAATTGTACGTAAAATATGATTTGATTATATACTCTATTACTATATACAACAAGACAATATATATCTCATGGCATGTAAATTGCCACCCAGTGACCGGCCAGGTGCACCTGAAGCCGCGCATGCACTGATGGCCGCACTGCAGGAGATGCTGTCCACCCTCAGCGCCTGGCCTTGTCTCTCGGCCGCGGCGACCGAGGCGAACGGCCGTCGACCGGCGAAGGCGAACCGGTGCCATCCGGTGCCGTTTTCGAGAACACCGTGTGGACTCAAAGCCGAAACGTGGTGGGCAGCCACCTTTGATGTAAACGGATGTAAAAATTGATGTGAAGCATGGTAATGGTAACATAATGTGAAGCCATGTGAGGGCAATGTCTGACTGTTAGTCACTCCTTGCCACCTTTGGTCTCGCTGCCCGACCCGCCTCGCATGCGACGTTGCAGTGCCAGCGCTTCGAGCCAGTGGGCTGCCTGCTGTCACCGTGTAGGGAGTGATGGACATGGACAACAAACATGAGATGTTTGGCCACGTCTGGCCTTCAGGTTTTTGGATTTCTTTGGCAGCTGTCACCCAAGCTTTCCCTGCCCAAACTTTCACCATTTTAAGCTGGAGCAGGTGCAAACCGTGGAGTTGGTCCAAGCCTCATCGAGCTCCCCGGCATCCAATTTCCCCCCGGAAAGTGTTTTGGTCTAAGGGAACAAACAAGGGATTCCTGCGCGAAAACATTTATGCCAAATTTCACGACCTAGGGTTTATAATGGTAGAAATAAAGTTTATAGTTTATACCTTGCCAACTTAGAGTCCTCAAAGAAGAAACATACCTTTGGAGACTGCTGAAGCCCAGGGCTTCAACAAGTCTTGCTGGCCCAGTGTGCCTGTTGAGATCCCTCAAAAAGCCATAGCCGCTTTGTTTTTTCCACAGGCGCCCCATCGCTTGTGTTTGTTTTGGTCTTTTGCTTGAAGTGAATCAAGCTTCAAGACGGTGGAAGTGGCACAGGGAATTTGTTCGTCCCAAAAGGTGCTGCAGCCTCTTCGAACATTGAAACACAGCCTGTTGAATTTTGAACCAATGATATGATTTAATCAAATAGGATAATAAGATATACATACAAACATCATACATCATCAGAATCATGTGTAGAAAACAAACCATGAACTTACAGGCTCTGCTTTACTCTCGGTTTGCTGCTATCTTCACTTCACACCACATTGCGCATCAATTAGAGAAAACGCTAGGGCCAAATGACTCTCCCATCAAGGGAGTGTAAAAACCCGATCATTAAGATCTTACTTCTTTCCCTTTGCCTTGGCCTTTGACTGCGCCCTGCCCGCTGCGGCCATCACAGAACCTTCGCTCCCACAATCATGATCTTCCTGCCCAGGAGCAAGACTGATGTGCAAGAGGTGGAGTCAAGATCAAGGTCATTTAAAAACCCGATTCCAGACTTCCAGACCCAGAGGTCAAATTCAAATTCAAAATCTAATCAAATTATTGATCAAAATCAAATTGCAAAATTGCAAAATAACATTATATAACATATATATAAAGTACTAGTGCTATACTACTGTACTGGTCCCGTCAGTCCATTGCCCAGTGTGCCGTGCCACTGTCCGCTAGTGTTACCCCATGAACCCTAACCATCAACCGGTTGCTGCCGGGTCGAGCCTGGGACTTCCGCTTCCTGGATGGTTGCTTGGGCTGTGCTGCTGCCTTGGCTGAGGCGCTGTTGTTTGTGCTCTTAGCCTTAGCCTTAGCCGCAGCCTTGCTTGGAACAGGCGGAGGAGGCATTGCTTCTGCTTTTGGTGCCTTTGGAGGGATGGGCTCATCTTGGGATTCTTCCTTCTTCCTCTTGTGCTGATGCAACTGCTGATGCTTGGGGCCCACGGCCGAAGCCTGTTCTGCAGGCAGTGCTGGTGCTGGTGCTGGTACTGTTTGCACAGCTTCACTGGCAACTTTGCTGGCAGACAATGACAGTGATTTATAGAGAGAGAGCTGGCCACGTGGGCGACGACCTTGAGAGGAACTCCCAGCACGCTCAATCTCTGAGTCCAGCAAATCATCAAAGGTTCGTTCTTCTTCTTCTGCTGAAGATTCTGGCTGCCCTGGCTGTGGGTGAACCGCTGCTTCTCCAGCCTGTGGCGGATCAACCTTT